CCGCCCCCCACCGCTCGAACGGAAACCCCTTGGCTGAAAAAATTCGAAAAAAAATCGAAATTTTTCGGGAAAAAATGGAAAAAGTGGTAGGAAGTTGGGAAAATCTAGGAAAGTGGTAGGTAGCATGGGGAGGGGGGTCGTATTTTCAGGAAATGATCACAACGCGATGGCGTGCCCCGATACTACCTGTGCCTTTCTAATATGGGAAAGACGATGAGCGCGCTGAAGAAGCCTTCCGCACTCATCCTCTTTCATATCTCAGACAGGAGGAGATTACTATTGAAGGAAGGAACCTCAGGTATGATCCCGCCCATATGATCAGCATGGTCTGTGGCATCAGAAAATAGGAGGGTGAATAAGATCGTAGTTTTGGGCTGCGTCCACTGGATACGGCTGCCACTACCTGGAACTAAGAAATACCTATAAACGAGCCAATAAAGCTTATTTCCCTAAGCCCTGAAACAGGATGAAGGGCAATTAGCAAAAGAGCTATGACATACTTGACGGTTTCAGTGTTTTTGTCGTCGCTTTCTTCCAGATACCAACCGAGTGAACAACTTCTCTTTGGACAGTAACCTTCAAGAAGGCGGACACATTGCGGTTTATTGAAGAGCCGTGCATCCTCCACGGGCGTTCTACCCCATCTGAACATCGTCGCTTGAAGTCAGCCTTCTTTCATAGTTTCCAAAACAAACTTACCGATCCTTGAGACAAGGGTTGACTTTTGCAACACCGAGGAAGAATTTCACCAATTTTTCATGTCCTTCTGAGGCAGCTATGTGTAGAGCGGTTCTTCCATCATAATCGGCTACATTCATATTTGCCCCTTGGAGATACATCCTTGAAATTATGCGTACTGAACAATTTCAGATGCGTAATGCATGTTGGTTGAATGGGCGGAGCCGAGCCGAATTCTTCTCAATGGCCCTTCTAGCAACACTGACCTTCTGAATGGTTTCCAAAGTCATCGTTCTTTGGCGAGCAAAACAACAGCGGATACGACCACTTCCGGTGGTCAGACGAGCCTGACTTGACGACGTGGATCTAATTTATGGGTATCGGCATGTAGAAGACTGTCATAGTTGTGGAAACTGAATTTGTCGACGAGCTTCTGAAAAGTGTAAGATTAATCTTGCCGTTCAAGTGGAAAAGGGTCTCACATTTCATCAAGCACTAGAGTTACCTGACAAAAGGCGACCCCTTTAATTGGGGTTGCCCGTTTTGTCGATGGCGGCTTGAGACACAGAGCGCGATTCTATCAGATTTAGGAACAACGACAATCATTGCTCCCGACACTCCTGATTTCGCTGGTAGCCCGATCTGAACGTGAGAGTTCCAAGGGCCTTTGTAAGTCAGTCTCCAAGGTAATTAAAGGCGAAAAGATCATGAAGAACACCCTAATTATGGAGATGGCAGTCTCTCTGAATGAGTTTTCCGGACCCGCTCGTTTATGCTAGCAAAGCGATGTCCTACCGCTCTACTTACTAGGGCGTTTGTTCGCTGTCAATCAATGCAAATTCATTATCAACTGCTGAAAAAAAAAACGAAAATATCCGCGCGTCAAAAGGGGCGGTGAGGTGGGGTTCCTCCTTCGACCGTGCCTGGAAGACTGCCCAGCTCCCACGAGTCGCGTGCTGAACAGAACACGCGGGAACGAGCTCAGACCGAAGCGACGCAGTCGCTTACTTCATGTCGAACTTATGGATCAGATTTGTCATCTTCAACAAATAATGCTAGGCGTACCCCACAGGCGACGCGCGGTGGGTTTGCCCGACCACCGTGTTAAAGGAACAAGGGTTATCGGTTCAAGGGCGGAACCGGCTAAAGAAGAGAGCCCGGATGAAAGCCCAGCAGCGAGTGGAACAGTGCGATTAGGCACGTTGAACATCGTGCTCTAACAGGGAGCAGCATCGAACTCGCCAGGAATGCGAAACGACGAAAAGTGGACGTTGCTTGCGTACAGGAGACACGATGGAAAGGACAAAAATTGCGCGATATTGGAGATACAAACTAAGCTACTATGGTGAAACAACAGCAAAGGTGTGGCTATTGTTACATTGATGTCGGCGCAGCAGAGTCTCAGAAATACGGCAAGTCAGATAGACACACCTCTGCCATAACTGATGTCGCGGCATGTCGTCTGCAGGTGGGTATTTTTCGACGAAGCCCCACGACAGTGGTTGCAGCGGGGGGCTAGCCGTGTGGAGATGAAAGAGCGAATTCTGGACAGAATTACAAGAGTGCAGTGGATTGGGGTGAACTTCCTGTAAAATTAAGTTTCTCCTCCTAGCGGGAGAGCGGCTAAGGATGGCCGGCGGTTGGCGATACCTCACGGGCGGATAAACTGTCACTGAAAGGCGAGGAGGAGAGTGGGTGTACAAACGGAAGATGGCCCGACGCATCCTGTGGTTGCTGAGGCAGATGATTTTGCTATGCTGTCAACACCTCCTGTCAGATGAGGCGGATAGTCCATGTCCTAAGTCACATGACGCAGCGGTGCACAGGAGAGGCAAATTGACCTTAAACTAGTACACAGAAGGGACCTTCGTCGCATAACCAATGCGAAGGTCATCCCATCTGACCATGTGGCCCGACCACCACAGCATAGGCTACCGGGCCGATACGAAGATATCCAAGCGCAACAAGGAAATCAGCAGGTCTATGGGACCGCATCAAATTAAATGGTGGAGACTACGGCAGGCTGATCAGTGGCTGCAATTGCCGGGAGCTGTTATCTCCCTCCTATTGACCAAATAAGAAGGCGGAGCTTTGTTGTAGAAGTGTGACCGTCAACTTTTCCGCGACTCAGTCACAACCGGCCAGCCAAAACCACGTGTAGGAAAGCACGAACCAAACCGACATCGTATCAATAAACAAGCGTGGTTATGGACAGAAGAGGACAAGCAGAAGGTGAAGGAGAAAAAAAGTGGCCTACAAGAACTGGCTCGCCTAGAAAACTGCCGAAAAGTGGGGAGTTTATGCCAGAGCTAAAAAGGAAGCCAAAAAAGCTGTAGCTGCAGTCAAAGCAGAACATTACCGAGACTTGTATGAACAGCTGGACACCAGAGGAGGAGGAGACAAAACATTTTATAAACGATTGGCAAAAGGAACGGGCACAAACCTGAATAGATTGTCGAACAATTACATGTGCGTTAAGGATCCAAATGGACAACGACTGCACAGCTGACGAGAGATACTGAATCGTTTGCAGCAATACTTCAGCGAGATCTCCAACGTCGAATTCACCCACCCACCAATTCCAGAAGGCACAAGGCATGCTGACCCAGTCCCTCGGATCACAACCGAAGAGGTTGCCAAGGCTATAAGCAGCATGAAGAACCGTAAAGCGCCAAGACCAGAGAAATACCTGTGGAGTTTTGGAAAATGAAGGAAATGCGTCAGAACGGAATTCCATGGGTTACACAATTCCTCAATGCCGTTGTTGCTTCAGGCAGGGCATCAAGCGATTGGGCAACGAGCATAATAGTAAAAATATTTAAGAACAAAGGAGATGCTTGTTGAATGCCTCTACAATGTTCGCGCCTATCCGCCTGTAATTCGCCATGCAATGTAAAACCTTCCAGCGAATCTTCGACCAGCGACTACGCGATATGGTGACATTGACCAATAACCAGCGTGGCTTTGTGAAAAGCTCTGGAACAACCGACGCAATCTTTGCTGCTCGTCTGCTCATGGAGGAACATAGGGAGAGACAAAAACCACTTCATGTTGCCTTTCTAGACCTTGAAAAAGCGTACGACCACGTACCTCATCAATTAATCTGGTACGCACTTTGTGAACACAGTGTGCCTGAAGCTCTTATCAACTGGATCCGGATGTTTAGATACAAACACAGTCAGCGAATAATCGTAGCCAGCTTATCAAACAGCTTCCCCATAAACGTGGGCGTTTTCATTCTCGTCATGGATACGCTCACACGGGACCTGCAAAATGAAACGCCGTGGACTCTGCATCATGCTGATGATGTCTTTCTCGCAGACATCAACAGAATGGGACTTCAAGGCCAGGTCCAGATGTGGAACGATGGTCTGAGCCGCTATGATTTTCGTCTTAACATCAAGAAGACAGAATATCTGGAATGCCGATGGGTACCAGTCCAAGTTGATAGGTTGAATGACTCACGAAGGAACTATCTCCTCCAAATATTTAGTATCTCGCTCAAAGCCGGGATATGATTGTCTTGATGATGGGATACGAGCGAGAATAAATGCGTCGTGGACGCGATGGAAAGAGATTACTGGAGTACTGTGCGACAGACACATGCCAACTCGCCTCAAATCGAAGATAATCGCACAATGGTCCGCCCGGTTGCACTGTACGGATCCGAATTTGGCCGATTACAAGAAGCGCAGAACGTCAACTGAACACTATGGAGATGCGGATGCTGCGAATTACAATGGGTGCTACACGCCTTCATCGCATTTGTAACGATGTCGTCCAGATGGGCGTGGTGTCAATTGCAGAGAAGATGCTGCGAGAACGACAGCTTCAGTGGCCGTGGACACATCAGTGGCGCGCGCCCCCATTACCGTCGCCTGCCACGGCGTAATCATTTTAAAGTGGGATGCGCCACTCATGCCTCAGGAGAGCTAACCAACGTTGGCAGTACCACAATCCCAACTCGGACGTCGAAACTACGTCAACCCTGCAACACAATAAGACTGCACCTAGACCGAGGAACGCTGGCGAGCGTCGATCGAAAACAACGACCTCGCCACGCCCGGGACAAACGTTCAATAATATCCACATAAATAATAATACATCATAATCATCATAATCAATAATACATACCATTCAATAATAAGCAGAAGAAGAATGCAACGCAACTATCGCGTCAAAGAGCGCCAACTCGCTATCACGAAAGTTCGACTTTGGTGGGCCCAGCTAAGACTAGAGACGCATCAAGACAACTGCCACTTCATGAGGGCTCACCAGCACTTTCAGTTACCTCTTAATGAGCTGCCGAAACAAGCGGCCCCGGCAGTCTTTACGCAACGTGGACCAAAGCACTTTGTTCAAGGAAGGGGGCTGTCTTTGAAACCTCCTACCCCTCTGCTCTTTTCTAAAAACTTGCCACGAGTGTCACTGTCAACACACTCTTAAGCCAGCTTCCATGCTCCATTGCACGCTTGTCTACGAGTGCGATGCACTCGGCAATCACTCACGCCCCCGCCTTCGTGCTCAGCTCACCACCCGCCTGCCTCTCGGAAAGTTCAATCTCCGCGCGTCGCAGCTTACAAAAACCCGCAGGTTTCGGCACAAATTCTTGGGACACCCTCTATAGAATACAGGAGAACGACATAACAAAATGTCCGTCCGGTCAGCACTCACCTGAAAGGCGAACTTTCCGCTGAGTTCATGCATACCGCAGGAGTACATTAATGAGAGCACGTCTCGACATGGTTGCGGCGAAATGCAACGTTCATTTGTAAGAGGGCAGACACCTAGGTAAAGTTCGTTGCCTATCTGATTAACCACCTGAAAACATCCTATGTAATATATTTTGGGAACCAACGCACGTCCTGCCGTTGGTGAAGCAATCTGCAGAACCCGACTCTTTTAAAGTTTCCACCGCTGTCCGGCATTTTCGCATTAACACACCAAATCGAGGGCGAAGGGCACTTTCTGGAAGGCACAAGCATTCTGCCTTTCCTTCATCTTAGTGGCCCCTTCGCTCCACCGTCACCACAATACCCCCTTCGTTGGGCCCGGTTCCATACGTCGAACTGCCCTGGTTGGGATTTATCTGTTCCTCTGTATACTCCTCATCCCTGAGTCGGGGTAGGCGTGGCGTTTGGACATATCATAGGATGGGTTACTGGTGGGATATTTCAACCCCAGACAACTGCCGTCTTGTTCCATGGTGGACAGAGACCAAAATATCTAGCCACAGCCGCGACCACGTTTAGTCGAAGTACGCAGCCACGCCTAGCGCATCCAAGGGATTTAGTATACCTCCATTCGCGAGAGTGGCCGCCATAACGGACAATGTGTCGCAGTTTGTCTCCATTGAACAAAGTTGGAAGTACAGTTCCAGTTCCTCTCGGAGACTCTGAATGATGTTTCTAAAGCCGTGCTGATTCATCAAGTAGTTCCTGGCTGAGGATCTTACCTTTGTTCCACTTGGGAAACAATCGTTTTCCTTCATATAGTAGGAAAGCGCATAGTTGCGATCGGCAGCGTCTCTTTCGGAAAGGAATCTGAATGGAAGGCTAGCAACAACGCCGATAGCTTCAGGTTAGGAGATCCGAATCGGAAGCGCAATAACAAATGGCATCGCTGGCAGGGCATTTGCACCGGGTATGTGACAAGAGAATCGTAATTCACCGCGCTGGTGGGCGTCGCGTGCGACGCCCGCAAATGACGATGGTTCCAGGTAGTAGATGGCGACAACAGGCAATTCAGAACCGAAAATAGTCATGAATGTCTACGATGACGGGGTCTACATGAAGTCCGGTGCTCTAATCGACAGGTTAACACGAGTTAAGAAGAACGCCGCGCCCATCGCCGCGCGCGGACAGAGCGACAAATTACGATTCTCTTGCCCGTCGCCCCTTTGCAGATGCACGTATAGTTGTTCGTCGCAGTCAGTCGGGACGATGTTAGGATGGAATGAGCCGGACAGCGTTATCAGCTCGTGACCAGTTTAGTAAGAAAACAACCACTGGTGAAAGCGGCAGTAGTGAGTTTATCCATTCCTTTTTGACGCAGCTCCAACCAACTGCGACGATTTAAAGACAGCGCCCCGCGATGGACTT